ATTAAAATTTAAAGTCTGACAATGATTGTTAATATGATTACTAATCTTTAAATATTAATTGTCACGTCGGGATTATGTTTCGAGATTTTGGATGTCGGGATTTTGTGGCAGAACCACTGGGCAATATTCCATCATGTACTCGAAGAATTGTTGGTTTTTGAAAGAAAAATCCTCACCAACGAGATTTATGAAAATATCATGATTGATAATATCTCCTAAATAGTTAACGTCATAGGAGAAATAGGGATAAGAGAAGGGAAGTCTAAAGTTTTTAAACCTGTCAATGTAAGTCAAAAGAACGATAAGAGGGTTGGAAAGAAAGTCGCACAGATAGACCATGTTAAAAAAGGGGCATGACAATCATAGCCAAATGACCAAAAAGAAGGATGCAAAAGAATTTCTCCTTGAAAAGAGGAGAAGTCTATGCAAAAAATCCTGCATATATAATTTATTTCGCAGCCATGTAAACAATATAATAGTAATTGACGGCAGGGGTCAGTAAGATGGGGATGTTCTCAAAGGAAATCCCATCGGCAGACGAATTAAAGAAATGTAACATGGTGAGATCTGCATCTAAAAGGATTCTAAGGAGAGTGTGGAATAGAAGGTGGATATCGAAATTCCCAAGTGATTGAACTTTCACGGTATATTGTTGGAGTATTAAAATTTTTATCTCGATCAACATAAAAGGGAGAAGGAAACGAAGCAACTTATTGTTGTTAAAAGGCCAGTTACCGAAGAACATAAGATAATAGAAAGTGACCAAAGTGAGTATTGACCACGAATGAAGGATGTCCAGGAAAACCTCTTTGAAGTTACGAACGACGTCTAAAACCTTTGCTGAGATTATTTCCTGCCAGGATCTCTTAACGTCCATTATTGATGTCGAACCTCGTTAGTCTTAATTTCGAAAATTCTAGAAATAACATTGTTAACATGTTTCTGCTCATGTATCTTCTTATGCTGGTCATCGACCGGTTCTAAAATTTTATATTTGTTTAACCAACCGAGTGCGACCATACTGCCGTCGTGTTTAATGACAAGAGTTTCTGTGTGTCTAGATAATGCGACAACAGTAAGATTATCAGACATACAAGTGTGCCGCAGCCTTCATCCACATATAACATGGCATGAGGAACCGTGGAGCCTTGGTATTTACGAACCATATCGTCTTTAGTGAGGTTATAAGTATTAACAGAGGCTTAAGTGTAGGTGAATCTATGGAACTTCTTATCCTTCAAATGGTCGGGCATTTTATCTTTATCTTTAGGGCCAAGAATGTAAATCGATTTTTCAACCTGTGACGTCGCTTCCATTTCATAGTCAAAATTTTTATTCAACAGCATAACAGTGTCTTGCGGGTTTCTAAAATTCCTTAAAAGAGTGTGTTTAGGCAAAGAGTCGATATCTATTTCGTCACCAATGTAGGTGCCCTCGGTTTGGACTTGACTTTGTTTAGTGTCCCGACAATGAAGACATCTGCCTTATTAACAGCGATGACCATCTTTATGTATTCGAAAGGTAGAGAGGTGAACTCAATAAAAATGGTCGAGCAACAAGTAGATTCGAGACCACGATGTATCGTGGCAAAATGTAAGTCATAACTCTCTACAAAATCGTCTTTGAGATTTTTATAGTCAGGCATCAATTTTGTGAAAGGGGCATAAACCAGGTCGAATTTTGTGGCCAACTTCCTGATTATGTATGATTTACCACAACCGGGGCCTCCCAAAATATAATGAAATCTGGTTTTCAAACTGAAAGCGGACGTTCGCTTTTTTTTTTTTTTGCTCGTTCCTTGTCATTCTTAAGGCTGGGTCATGGTCCGACAAAACCATCCTCATCTTTTCCAAGTCTTTTTCAGACATAGTGATTTCGGCTTCGTGTGCCTTATGTTCGCATTTCACAACCTGATCCGTCTAATTGTTCACATATTGGGCAAGAGTAGACTTTTTCCACATAGGGCTCATCAAGTACAATGTTGTAATAAAATTTTTCCGGGTTCGTTATAGTTTTGTGGGGCCTTTGTTTCATTTGGTCGCTACCAAAAATGACAAACTTGTCTGCCAAACGATTTTTGTATATGTACGCTTTTATTAATGTAAAACTCGACGAAAAGAAGAACTTAAAGGGGTTAAGAGCGGTTTTTGAGAAAAGCGCACCAAAGTTGTTATCAACGCTCAAAGAGTGTTCGTTGACAAGCTTAGCTTGGAGGTAGACCGTGAGTGCGAAAGAATGGAAGTCTCTGCTTCTTAAATGCCGGAGTGCCAATAACTCTCTTGAAATGAGCGACACACCACCAGCTCTTCTCCTCACAAAAGTCATAACGTTTTGCAAGGAGAGGGCTTTAGCGTCAATAGAAAGCTCGTAGTTAAGAGTTTCGAAGTACTCATCAGTAAAAACCGAGAAATACCTGAGTTTATTGACACTGCAAAAAGAATCAGTCGAGTTTAATAGGTCCAAAATTTTTACATCCTGTTTTTTATCGGGTAGGGCAAGGCGTCTAGAAATGGTTTCTCCGCTCTTATTTGCCTTAATAATCTTAAACAGCGCCATTGGTCCAACGTAAGCGCAAATTTCGACAAAAGAAAATTTGTCAAAGTTCATGACCAGATGCTTTAACAAAGTGGACCAGGCGACGGTGTCATGCGCGTAACCGTTGCAGTACCTAAAGTCAAGGTAAGTTTTGCCTCCTTCCTGTGACACCTGATAGTGTCGGGACTGAGGCAACCCTGGGTAGACCAGCTCTAAAGGGAGCAAGCAGTAACCGTAGGCCACATTTGCTGAAGTCCGTGTGAAGAGATTTGTATAGTCTTGCGGAGTGAAGTTGTAAAAGAAATCTTCCAATAGTAGAACCTCGTAGCCAGAAGTGAGCTCAAGTTTTAAATTTGTCAGGAACCTTCTTCATTTCGCGATAGTCGGCGAGCATTTGTTTAAAACTGTCCCAAGTTTTAGAAAGTTGTGGCTTTCCTCCATTTCTGTCGCGAAAAACCTGGTTTTCTTAGATGATGTGATTAACGAAGTCTTCCATAAAACATTTAATCGTACGATCATAATCTTTCGATTTCGGAATCATGAAAATAATAATGAATATTGTTGTTTGCAGCATATTTGCTAAAAGCAGAACCGATAATTAAGGTTGGCAGTTTGGTTCTACCGACTTTGATAATCTCTCTAAAGGCGGCAACTACTTGATGATCGTTGGTCATAGGCACGGGGTTCTTAAAAACCACAGGGAATCCAAGTTCCGCTTCAATTGCCTTCCTGTAACAGCAGTAGTGACAACGATCGAGTTTTTAATAGACTCTCTAAAAATCTCACCTGCGTAAGGTGTACCAAAACTTGTGGCATTGACTGACGAAGCAACATCTATCACTGTTTGAGGACTACCAATCCAGATAGAACCATCATCAAACAGTGAATGGGGCACAAAAATTTTACATGGTTATTGGAGATGTAAGCCTTAGAAGCGGAAAGGGTTTGTTGTTTTTAAGGAAAGTGAAAGTTTTCCGAGTGATCCTGGGGCCGAGAGGGTCGACAACAAAGAAAGTGAAACAGCCCCCAAAGAACTTTACCCAACAATGCTTGGAGTCAAAATTTTGGGTTTGCAAGCGCTTCGAATGTTTTCGCGAAAACCGCTTACATTTAGAAATGAACTTATTCTTTCTTCTTAACGATCTAAGTTTAACAGAAAATCTCTGGTGCTTAATGAATAATAGAAGTAGAATTCCACATATAGCAAAGCCATAAAAACCGATAAGAAAATAATTTGCGTTCCTGGACAGCTTTGTAAACATGATAAACCAGAACGAAGATTAAGGCCAAATTGTGCAAAGCAATTAATAATTTGGTCAATACAACAACAAAAGTTGTAATATTGCCATATACAGAAAGTAAGCAGAAGGAAAATATAATAAATCTTTTAAAGAAACTATCACTTGTGAAAGGATAATAAGTCATGACATTGTGATAACTTCGAGATATGAGCTTGAGTTTTATGTTCTTTAATGCCAGATCTGCCAGGAAGTTTACATATTCTTTATTATTTTTCGAAGTGTTAATATCTTATAACTCAGAGAAAGATATCCTAAACTACAAATAAGATTTCATAAATCAAGTATAATGTAAACAAACCTTCATTTTCAAAACACGCTTAATTTTTAAAATCTGCATAAAAAAACCACCTTTAGTACTCTAACAAAAAGTGTTTCTTGAGTGATTTACTATATATTAATTTAACCTCTAACTTTATTTTATTAATAAAAGTTAAATAAATTATTTTAATAAGTTTTTTAAATTTTAAATTAAAATATTTTAATTTTAAATTAAATTTAATAAGAATTTTTTATTTTATTTTATAATTATTTAGAATTAAAATAAAAAATTTATCAAGTTTGATTTAATAATTGTTAAAAATATTTTAATTTAAAGTTAAAAAAATTTATTTAAAAACAATTTGCTTGGTTTTTATTAATATCAAAATTAAACGATGATCACTCGTACCAAATATTTGACTAACAAAAATGAAAAACTTGTTGGAGAAAGTAGAAGAGATAACTACAAGTAATGGTTTTTACAGAGGTCAAGGTTTCTGTTATTATTCTCTTCCGGACTCTTTTATATATTCAGCATGCAAGTTAAAAGCATTCTTGTACAAGATAATTGGCAGAAAATGGTGTCCTTGTACAAAAAATTTTAATAGAAGCATAGCTGTTGTAGCAGCTTCTGCTGATGAAGTGAAAGATAGTTGGTCTAAAGGGGAACAACAAGCAAGTTTTCAACATACTTCCTATTGAAGTTTAAGGTTACCCGCAAACCGAAACCCTCTACCAAAACCCACTCTATGTTCTTTACGAAATTTTGACAAAAAGTAGAAAATCCAGTATACCCCCATCAAAGGATTGACAAAAACAATCAACTGCTAAAAAAGGAAAGTCACGTACAGGAGTACGTATCTACTTTGGGATGAATAACGTATGATTGGTTTCCTCAAGAGGTTATGATATTTATATCAAGCATCCTAGTACGCTAACTTTGCCCAGGTACAAGCTATATTAAGCACAAGAATACGTTGCAAAAGACCATAACAAAAATCTAGTAGAACTGCAAGAGAAATTTTGAACTTGGATCTCTATTCAAAAATAGATATTTTATATATCCTAATATAGACATAAATAACTAGTATAGAGTTTAGACTAGTTTATTTAGTAGTACTAT